CTGGGGCTGCCTGTGCCTGCTCCGGACAGCCCCGCTCAGGCTACGAGCGCCTGCAGCAGGGAGCGCTGGCCGTGGGGCGGGCGAGGGGCCACTTTTCTCCACACAGGGAAGGAGCCCAGGGAAAAGCTGAGCGCAGGGTGCGGAAAAGCAGCCCCTTCCCTGCCCCATGGCCGGCGCTCCCTGCTGCAGCTGCTTGCAGGGCTGTGTGGAGCAGACACAGGCAGCCCTACGCTGGCTGTTAGCAGCTTGCAGCACGGGGTGCTGGCCACGGGACGGGGAAGGGGCCACTTCCCCTCCCCTCCCACTCCTTCCCTGGCTGGGGTCCCCCCCCCCCTTACCTGAGGTTCCGGCCCAGGGCAGCCACCTGCTCCCAGGCCAGAAGCCCTGGCAGGGGCTTCTGGCTGGGGGGGCGGGGCCGGGTAGGCCCCACTGTTGTTGGAGCCTGCTGGGCTTCCCCTGGGTCCTACTGCCATTGGTTTCTGTCATTTTTGACAGGAACCAAGAGCAGAGAAATATTAATTTTCTACATTTTTTAGGGGCCCTGCGGGCCGGATAGAATGGCCTCGCAGGCCGTATTTTGCCCACCCCTGCACTAGAGCATGCCTCTCTGCTCTGCTGGAGCAGACAGCTTAGGTCAAAGCTATCCAGCCCACCCTGCAAAGGAGGGAGGGTCTTGCAGGGGAGGTGCAAAGCATCCTGGGATGCTTCAGGGACTGTGAGTTAACTTGAATCTGCAGGGGATCTGGGACAGAAGTTCAATAAATCGATGTAACCTAAGTCAGTAAAGTCTGATACTTTATCCAGATTTATCTTAAACCGGTTTCAGCCACTTTGAATGTGGCTTATGTGCACTGAACTTCTGTTGTGTTACAGATTTGCACTGGTTTCTGATCACTTATACTGTTTTATGTGTAACTTCTGTGCCTAGTGAATGTTTTTGATGCTATGGATTCCTATTTGAAATCTCTGGGTTTATCTTGCGACTCTCCTGTGTCAGTGTTTGCACACCTAACAGTGCTAATGTTGCTTGGCACTCCCTAGCCCCCCTTAGAAGGCTCTCATGGCACTCTAGGGTACAGAGATACAGAGTTTGAATTCTGTATAGGGTATATATTTATTTTAAAATTTTCATTACTTTCCCCTGGGTACTTTATATTGTACACGATTTATTATCCTGGTGATAGATGTGTGAGCCAAATGTACGCTAACCTTTCACTCTTTTTGCTTGTTAGTCATTATTATCCTTTTGATTTAAAAATGAATTTGAATATTCAAATGCACGTCTTTCAGTTATTCTCAGCTAAACTACACCTGCTTTATAAGGTATCTACTAGTCTTATGTTTTTTTAATTTGATTTCGTTCCTTTTTTCTTTGTTTTTCATCTTCGTAGGGCAACCTTGTATATGTTCAAGCAGCAGAACCTGCAAATGTTCCAATGAAAAATCACCTTCCTGCAAGAGAAGATCAGTTACTAGCTCTACAAAACACAAGTGAATTTGATGTGCTAATTATAGGAGGAGGAGCAACAGGGAGTGGCTGCGCTTTAGATGCTGTTACTAGAGGTGAGCCATGGGGGCATGAGTGTATATATGTGGGGGGTTTTATTAGTTAAATGTGTGTTCCTTACTTTTGTTCTAAAATGACAATATTTTATTCTACAAAGGGATGAGACAGCTGCAACTACTATAAACATTTAATACTTGTTCATCTTAACACAGGTTTTAAGTTGAGTCATTCCAGCTTAAAATTTACTGACCACATTCAGCTTGAAAGTCTTTGATTTATTTTCTCTTCCTTAATGAGAAGTTCTGTGTAGCAAGAGGGAATATAATATCCGCATTCAGATGCACTGTATGGGTTTCAGAATCCATTTCTGTTTTTTCTTTTGAAATGTTTCTGTTTACGTTTTTGTTGTGCAATTAAAGTAGATGGAAATATTACTCTTCTGATACTATTTTCATAGACTTCAGCTGGTTTATTGTTTAAAACATTGGACCAAAATAGTTTAGAACTGATTTAAAGAGAAACAACTTCCTTTGTGGTGAGTGGAGTTATTTGCTTGTTGTGGGTTGAATGTGACCCTTTGATTTTTAACCGCCAGTTCCAGAACTGGAATTGATACATTTTGATAAAGAAAAAATCATGGCGTGCTCTCTACAACTAAAAATTAACACGTAGCAATCAGCTGATCAAGCAAATAGACAAGTTACACTTGTCAAAGTTAAGAGGCACCTAAACTTTGATTTTTATGTTTCTATTGAAACTCCTTTCAATTTCTGTGTTGTGTTGTGGTGTGCTTATTCATATATACCAGAATGTCACTGTAGTTTGCTTGTTGCCATTGATGCCCTTCTATTACCTTTTTAACAGTATAGAATACAGTCAAATCTGGAAAGTTTAAGGAAAAAATGATTCCAGAAAGATGATAAAGTGAAGTTGTGCAGGCTGAGCATTCCTCTGAAATAGTCAGCAGAGGCCTCAGAATCAATTAGCTGTTAGTTAATGGACCTTCTAAGAGTGAATTTTTGGGATGGTGATTGTCTCAGGAGTTGTGAAACGTCACACTTCAAGACGTTACTGTGGTTAATTCTGTATCTCTTGTAAGAGCTCACAGCTTCTCTCAAAGGGCACTGACAAAAGGTGACATTTGTCATGCAGTCAACCCTTTGAAAGAGTCCTACAGCTGTGCCCTGACAGAAGTGCATGGATGCAGAGTGCTTTAAAAGTGCGTGATCACATGACAAATAAACCCTCATGTAATGAGGGTTCAGATGAAGGCACTTCAAAGCTGATGGACTTCATTAACTTCTCCCTGTTCCTTCTCGGGATTGGGGCTGGGCTGATGCAGCTCAGCCCTGCCCCTAGTGCTGTCTACAGCAAGGGAGGAGGGGAAGGGAGCTGCAGGCTGTGTGGTGTACCCAGCCTGAGCTGGAAGGTGGGTTGGGGGATGGCACATGGATTGGAGCTCCCCTCGCAGGTGGAGGGAGTTGCAGGGAGCTCCAATCCTCATGTGTCCCCTCCGACTCAGGTTGGACAAACCCCAGCCCACAGCTACCTCCCCTCCTTTGTCCCCCTCCCTTCCTGCAGAAAGTACCAGAGCTAGAGTGGGTACTAGGGGAGAGAGGCTGCAGATGGACAGCTCCTCCTGGATCAGCTCCAAAGTGGAGCTTGATACCGAACAGCGAGTGTCAGTTGTGTCGAGGGATTGCCTAACTCCTGACACTTTCTGTACAGCACCATGAGTCAGAGCAGGGAGCTGCACATCTGTCAGCACCCTAAGGAATCCTCCCGACAGAAGCGTCTGCTGTGACAGAAGTGTCACTGTGCTTGTAAGCCTTGGTTTCTTTTCCACAGTCGTGGAAATTGTGTTAGCAGGGATGGATGAAACGTTTATTGTAGAATTGTAGAAAAAGTTCATTCATGGAACCCTGTGGAAGTTCTGGAAAAAATGATGTAAGGATGAGCTTTGCTGAAAATGTGGCTAATGAGATTAACAATGTATAGGTGCATGTCTGGATAAATTGCTTATAGAACTTGCTAAATACTGTTTTTTTAAAGAAGTGTTTTATCTCACTTACTTTCTTTCCTACCCCTGCCCCCTCTCTGTTTCCTTTTGTTTTCATCTACCCCAGCAATATGCCTCCCATCTCTTAAACTTGAATCGCTAGTGACTTTCTCCTTTGCTCTCCAAGTCTTTATCCATCATTTTCCATCCCTAATAGAAAGACAGTACTTCTGGACTTCCCATCATGACTACTCCATTTTCTTTCTCTTAACTTATCTCCTTATGGTAGGCCATAAAAATGTAGCCATTTTCTTCCTTTTTTCATGATTTTCTGTTTGTGACTACTCTCACTCTCATTCTTTGAATATTTGTTCTATTTTTTCTCCTATAGGCTCCAACTGAATTCAGTGGTGGAGGGGGGGCACCCCCCTGTTGACAGAGAGAAAGGTAGCTTGATATGTTAGTCAGGCAGAAGGCAGGGCAGGGCAGCACCTTTGAGGTTAAACTGGTTCAGAGAGGCACAGACCTTTGTAGGTGACAGTCCACTTTGTTAGATGCATCATTAGCATTTGAAGTAGCCTACAAAGCTTGTGCCCCTCTGAACCAGTTCTCTCTAAGGCGCTGCCCTGCTCTGCTTTCTGTGTTGATTTGTGTGACCAGTATTAGAGCTTTAATCCATATTAATATTATGATTCACATCCATCTCAAAGCATTGTATTACTGTTCTCACCTGTTATTTCACTGTCTTTATCTTTCCTGCTCAGTCCTCATTTTTCTTTGATTGTATTCATTCTTTCTGTCATCCCCCATCTGTCATACAGCCCATACTTGGAACCTAGATATGGTGATGCTGAGCATTGCTGGGCCTATGACCTGGCTCCTGGAGTAGAATTAACTATGCAAAGAAGGAATGCAGGAACTAGGGGGAGAGTAAGCAAGCCTCCCAGTCTTGGCCTTCTCTGTAGCCTGATGCTTATGGCCCTCTGCTGGGAGGTGAGATTGTGGTATTGATTCCCATCAAGAGCATTGAGCCAAGGTTCTCCCACTTCCTTGGTAAGTACTCTAACTTGTAGGTTTAAAAGCCTGCTGGCAGTAGGACCATCACCACTTCTTCCTCCAGTTGTGTTTTGCAAAAAATTATCAAATAGTCAGCAGAAGCACAGATGTAAATGCTGTTTGGAAGAGTTAGGCATGCTCTAAGTGTGCCTCCTGTATTGGGACCCTCAGGGGATGTAAGCACATTTGGGATCCATGGGTGTACTTAGAAGTAGTCTTGCCAAGCTGGTAACTATTCTGGACATGTCAAAATGCAACACTAGGAAACCTTCTGGTGAAAATCAATGTGCTTTACAGCCCTGCCCATGAGAGCTTTGTGAATTGCACTCACGGAACGTAGGTGCCCACCGATCCTCACTTTAGCTTTTGTGGGTTTGGCTTTACTGCTGGCTGTCATGCTATTCCACATGCTTATAAAGATCCACCACAAAAGACCAAACTCTCATTCGTTAGAGGGGAATACGGCAGCCACACCAATATTATAGCTGCTTAATATTTCTCATGGTGATTTCTTGTAACCATTTTAATGAAATGCTAACACTTGTCTACAGTAGGCCTTTTAAACATGGTTGGAAGAAAACCATCAGACTAGAGAGGTACATTTTGTTTGTATGCTTACATTCTGCTCAAGTTTAGCTGAGTTATAATTTATAAATTCACCAGTTTCTCTTGATTGCATTGCTTAGAAACAAATTGAGACAAAACTATTTTTCTACAATATGTACTTTGACAGCAAATTGTGTTGGATGAAGACTGCCTTGTTTAGCATAATTGTCCTATGGTTTCATAGTTTCACAATTGGTAGGGTCGGAAGGGACCTGAACAGATCATCAAGTCTGACCCCCTTCCATGGCAGGAAAGAGTACTGGGGTCAAACAACCTCAGCAAGGTGTTCATCCAGCCTCCTCTTAAAGACCCCCAGGGTAGGAGCCAGCACCACTTTGCTTGGAAGTTGGTTCCAGATCCTAGCTGCCCTGACAGTGAAGTAGCACCTCCTGATATCTAGCCTGAATTTACCGTCTGCCAGCTCGTGACCATTATTTCTTGTTACTCCTGGTAGTGTTCAGGGGAACAGGGACTCCCCCGATGCCTGCTGGTCCCCTTTGACTAGTTCCCCAACGGCCACTAGATCCCCCCTCAGCCTTCTGTTGTGGAGGCTGAACAGGTTCAGGTCCCGTAGCCTGTCCTCGTAGGGCCTGCCCTGCTGCCCCCTGATCATGCGAGTGGCCTCCTCTGGACCCTCTCCATGTTGTCCACATCCCTCCTGAAGTGCAGTGCCCATGGTACGTCCTCACATATGCTGCTAACACAATGCTTTTAAAGCAAAAGACAGAGTCTCAAAAGACAGCCATAGCAGTCTGAACATGCTTTGGCATTTCTGACTTTGAGCTTTCTGGCTTGTTGGGTTAAAGTGTTAACTTTGGTGCTGTGCACTTTTCTACCATTCTTGCACATAATGTAAAGTTCTACATGGCCTCAGAAAGACAAGTCTTGAAAGTGAGGGGTGAAATTCGGGACCTGTAGAGTCAATGAGAGTTTGGAGAGGTTTCAACTTGAAAATGTGCGACTGTAAGCAAGGTACAGCAGTAACACACACATCTCTTGTAGAATGACACATTCATTTCAATCAGTAGTCCAAGGTGAATTTTGTTATGTTCCTGTTTTTATGGATAGAATCATAGAGAGGTAAAACTGGAAAGGACCTCTGGAGGTTATCTAATCCAACTCCCTGCTTCAAGCAAGATCATTCATATCCAAAACATTTCATATAAATCCTTGTCTAACCTATTACTAAAATTATAGTCGACGCTGTCACACCACAGGGCATGGCACCCTAATTTGCAACAGGTAACGCAGGGGACAACAGCGACCAATGTTCTGCTATTGCAAACATTGTTAAAATATGCTTAAGAGATCTAAGGAAAAGGGTTCTGCCCTCTGCTATAGAGGAAGGCAAACCAGTCTGACCAAAGGGTAAAATTCCTTCCTGACCCCATGGGA